CACAATTATTCATGCCCATGTCTACACTCGTAAACTGAACAGCGTCAGGCCCCATCCTAAGCACTGGAGCACTATCATCTATGCTCTGCTTCTAGTAATATCTAAATTGCAGCAATGCAGTTACCATGGCATTGTGCAAAAGTGATTTGTCATAACCTGTCTAAGATACCTCAGATAGAGAATATTTATTTGCTGCAGAGATCTGTTTAAAATATTGCCTCATATTTTCAGTGTAACAGTGTCATAGTCCTGTTGGGCAATCTCCCATTTACATCTGGGAAAGGAGAAAAACACAGTAGCTATGACAGGAGTGTTGCAAACTTCCCTTTTGATTCACTTTACAAGAATATTAGCAAAATCCTAATAGGCAAGACAATTACTTTTTACAACATTCACATCTGAATAATATGATTAAAACCTTAGAGGTCAGCACATTGTCTTTTATGACCCCTGCTGTATGCACTTCACTTGTGAAATAAGCTTGCACTATTACAAGAGATAAAATACATAAAATATATATATATTTACAGAAGAAATGTTGGTAAATAGAATGGATGTGACATTCATTACTGAATTGAGAGGATATGTAATTTGAATGCTTTTGAACATTGAACCTTTTGTGTAACTGTGCATAATGTAATGTAGTTGTGCATGTACGTAGTTGTACATTGCAACTGTTCTAATGCAGTAGAAAAATTCTTGAAAAAATTCTAACACACAACAACCTCACCCAGAAATTAGTGGAGTAGAGCTAGCACTAGCACAGCAGTACAGATGCACACAGAGCATTAAGAGTGGGCATTTTTTGGGTTAAAGCCACGTTTCCCCCTGCCTATTGCCAACACCATGCACAGGAGCGCTTGCCAGCTCTCCAAGGCCCTGCTGTGCACTTCAATGTCACAGCTCTCCACATCTCCGAGTTCACTCAAATCCATTCTGCTCAAGAGGTGCCTATACACAACCTGCCTACTATTGCTCATTCTCAAATTTGTGCCGTATCTGTACAAATTTGTACTATAGATCCTGAAGTTAATAGAAAAACTGGAGGGTAGAGATAGGCACCCTAGAAGAAATAGCCAAATGTTTAAACAAGAGATAATAAGTAGGAGAGACAGAGCAGCTTTGGCAGAAACTGCTGTAGGGAAGGGAAGGGTGGTTCCAGGAACTGGGAGTATAAATTTTGATTAGGGCAGGGCTGGTATTTCCCACTTCAACTGCCTAGTTTGCTCTTTAGTGAGAAAATGGGATTTTCACTTTGCCCCCCTCAGTGAAGAATTAAAGAGGAACAAGGACTCACCTTTATAGATAAGCTGACCCAAATGTCACTTGTAAAGCATGACCACACTGGGACCAAGTGTTTTAAACTCCTACCTTAACCTGCTGTAAAATTATCATACCTAGACTCTAAAGGAAAGTAACTGTCAAAGAAAACACAGCACATCTCCCATTATTTCTTTTGAAAAATAAGAGAAAAACTACTCCTTTCTGAACAAACTCAGGGTCTATGTTCACATGTACCACAGCCTAAAACACTAAGCAAAGGACAGAAAATGAGATCTTGAGATCAGCAACAGATACATTTCTGAATCTTTACTAGTATGGATGATTTACAGACATTGCAGTTTTCATTCACTTGTGCAGAAATCAGCTTGCTTTACCTCTGCTGATGTGTGAATGCGCAAACTAATCTGTACCACAGGATGCTCACAAGTATTTTGTACAGAAATGCTACTTATGGTACAAACACAGGGTAACACAAAACATATTATCAATATAAGTTTGCCACTAGGCCCCATGTGGATCAAGGATCTGGGCCAAATTAAAAACTAAAGGAGGAAGGAAGCAATACTAAAATACAGTTAGCACAAGCAGAGTCATCAGAGAGAGGAATGGAGCAGAGAGAGAATGCCTAAATTACAGGTGGAGGAATGGGTGTGGAAATGGGCAATACCTGGTTCCATACACAGAATGATTTACAGACCGTGTCACAAGGTTGGGAGTCATCCATCTACAAAGTATTTAATGTGCAGCAGTTCCTCTTCCTCTGGTTGTATAAACTACAAGCTCTGCTAAATCTGATGGTTTTCGGCAGGCTGCACTGTAAATTGTTCTTTTGGTGACAGAATAAGACTACTTCATGTTCATCACAAAGAGCCAGTTGTTGAGTAAAATGGGCTTTGAAACGGAGATAACAATCAAGAGCTGCAGTTAATGAATAGATTTATGTGCGTTCATTCAGCTTAAAAACCCCATACTTCCCCAGATCAGACAAAATATATTAGCTATGGAAACACGCCAAAAAAAGTATTTAGTCTTTACAAAACAGATAAAAAGATTAAACTAGTGAGTGATTCAGTTGAAGGATGGGACAAAGGGGGGAAATTACTCCAGTCAATTAATGCTGCATGCCTCTTCCTTATGCCCTACAATATTCAGAGTTGTCAGGCTGGAGAGGTCCTCTGGAGTTCATTAATCCATTCCTCCTCCTCGAGGCAGGCTCCCACCATAGCTGTGGGGTTCCTGCAGATGTTTCATCTGACATTGTAAGTCTTTTGGTGGACATTGTACAACCTCCCCAGGTAAGCTGTTGTACTGCTTGGTAAGTTGGTCCTTTCTTCCTGGAACTCAATTCTACTATTAATTTTCCCATCTGGAAACATGGAGAACACAAACATAAAAGGCTGCTGCAAAGCAAGATGAAGTAATTTGAACACTGTTACACCCTCCCTCACAACTCCTCCTGAAGCTAGCAATCTCAAACCATACCTACTTTAAGCTCCCTACATAAACGAACCTCTTGAATATAAAAATGTCCATATACATTTTACACACACTTGCTATTTATGAAGGGGGATACTTTAAATTGTATTTCACTGTTTTGTTCAGATATTAAAAAACAGCACTGTGGTTCAGTAAATTCTTCCATTGTTTTGTACAAACTGATGGATGCTCTCCATTTCACACAATTATACCAGCCACAGGAACACAGCATGTTTCTCGGCTTGGCAATAGCATTTTGTAAAGAACATTACACAAGTAGTTTTTGTTCAATGTTTGTTCAATGACTAATGGTCTATCTGAAGTAAACCATAGTACTTGCAGAGTAAGAAAGTACTGAAGTATAGGTGACATCAGATCCAGGTCTTTTCTTTATCTCGCTTTTCCACTCACATTTAACAATTACCCGTAAATATATTTACAGAGTTTTTAAACTCTCACCACTAAATTCTCATACATAGGAAACAATCAGGGTTTCCATGAGGCTACAGCATCTGATCATTCAGAGTATAAACCTTAAATGTCAAAACGGGTCCCAGCAGCTGCTCAGCTTCTAGGACTGGTAATACTGGATCAATAAAAATTCCTGCAGTATGGAAAACGATGTACTGTTGACTGAAAAAAGGTTGATGTAATCAGGCCGATACCCAAGAAATGCCAGCTTTTGGTTGCATTATGAAGTTAATTGGTTACAATGATGATGTATTAATATGTCAGTGAACCATTTCAAACCTGGTTCACTACTGTTCCACAGATGAACCAGATTTTTTTACTGCTCTTGACAGCAAACAAAAGCATTGCTGAAATAAGGATGCCTTAAACCATACACATACCTCAGCTCTTGATCAAACATAATGGTATTTAGGCCTACAATGAGGAGCAAACTCCTCTGAAAGTCATTAATCTTTCCACATCTGGTATAGCTATGTATACGAAGGAAACACCTACCTGAACTGCATGCAAGTAACTTGTAAGAGATAACACAACGCTCGAGGGAAAAAGATGTTAACTTGTGACTGCACTTGGATTTCAAAGGCTTGAATGTTACCAAGAGACAAGACTCCAAAAAGAGGGACATATCCTGGAACAATCACAACTGCATTGCATTTTATCAGTGGCTAAAGAGAAGAAATTATGGTACTCCTTGATATATGGCATGGGTGAGACTAAAATTTGGAATACTGGATAGTTCTGTGTTAAAGAGAAAACATGAGGAGCTTACGGACAATGCAGAAATTTGACAGCTAGAGGTAAAAAGCAGGTATTAAGAGATTCATCCTTTAGTTAAATGCAAGGACAGACAGGTGATGATTATAATGTATGTTTTAAAGATGACAATATCAGGTGCAAAAGGCATTTTTAAATTAAAAGGAAACAATATAATTCAAAACAGAAGCAAGGAGTAAAAGCAGGTAAAGTTACAATCAGGGAAGAAATGTAACCGTGTGACTGATGTGCAGAAGGCTGTGCTGCCATTCAGCATGACCTGGAGAGGCTGGAAGGTTGGGCAGAGAGAAACTTAATGAAATTCAACATGAGCAAGTGTAGGGTACTGCATTAGGATCAAAGGTTAAAATTAATTTCTTCGCTTAAGTAGTGAACTACTTATGTAAGTGATAGGGTTGCAAGATAAAAATCAAGAAGAGATGCTGTACTGTGGTTAGCAACAAGCATTCCGTTGGGAATCAAAAAGAAGACAGAGAAGAATCGATCATTTCCTTAATGGAGGTTCTAGTATCTTAAGTTATTTAACTAAACTAACTTTTGAAGAATAGCAGGCTACCAGCATGGCCTTAATGTGCTTGTTACATGAATATACACCACTTGATCTATGTTGAACCATGGCTGGCTTACCAAAACATATTAAACCTGATCTTAAGGATTCTGAACAAAGGCAATATTCACAAAATTTAACTTAAGACTATCCTTACAAGATTCCTCTTTGCATATTAGTGTGGCAAGAGACATTTCCTCGTAGAGTGACTGAGAGGAACTGAAATTCGGTATTCTCAATTGCCCTCATGACAACCATTTGTACCTCCTCCTGGCTACTAAGCCAACCCAAGAATATAAACCCAAAGTCAGTTTTTGAAAAACACAGTTGTGTATCATGCTGCAAGAACTGTAAAGGCAAAATTTGCTGTGCCCTTGTAAAGATAAGTTTTTAAACAAAATAACTTACCCTTGATCTTCTATCTAAGCAGTCACAAATAAAGATTTCAGAAAGCAAAACCTCACAGCTCTTAAATAAAAGACAGGTAGCCTTGTTGTATATAAAAGTTCTTATATAGGAAACATCCAGGGTTACACAATAACCAGTTGCTGGTGATTTCTGCACAAATACAGATCACACTGGAGTTTATAACACACCATACTTGCAGTGTCCTTTGGTCAATACTTCTACTTTCATAAACTTTCAGTAATTTACACAGGGTTTAGCAAGTTCTGCTTTTTGTGCTCATCAATGAATCAGAATACAAATATATTGGTAATATGTCCCAATTTGAGAAAGTCCCTTTTTCAGATGAAAAATGAGGTAAGTATCTTAGGAAAATAACAAAATAAATCAACGAAACAGTCGTCCTCTTCCACGCTTGCTCTTGAGATGACTAGCAGAACGCCTAAGGGTTTTCCTCTCTTGACGATGTTGTCTCTCAGCTTCCTGCTGCTTCTTTTGCTGCTCCGACTGGAATATTAAAACAAAAACAGACTCAGGTTCTTGTAAACACATCACCTCATTGTTCAAGTACCTATATGTCAAGTCAGAATACCAGTAAGGAAATCTGGAAACATCACTGTTAATGGTCCCACGCTACGTTGTCTTATACCGTACCTCTTGGTTCTGGCTATCCTTAGGCATTATAATTTCAAGTAATTTCAAGCAAATATTCAAGTCAAAGATATTGAAAAAACAGTGAATAAAATCATATACTTCTGATGAAAACCAATGTCTAACAATAGACTGTAAAATTACACTCTAGAAATTCCGTTCTAGTGCCCTTAAAAAGGTAGAGCAATTTGAGGTTGTTTAGTATCTACTTTGGTTAACTAGTATTATCAAAACTTAGTATTTGCACAAATGCATTTTAAAAAGACAGAACAATTATTTAAATTTGCTGAAATATACAGGTTTTCTCAAAAGTGTTCTTAAAAGTTCTTAAAAGTGTTTGGTATGTTGTAGGCAATTCTAGGAAGAATTTCCACATGAAAAGAATTTAAAATCTCTGCTCCTGTGGCACATGCTCTATTAGTGTTTTCCCCTTTTATCAAAAACATGCTGAAAGGGTTTCATTTACATACTACATAGATTAAATGGCTCTTATGGGTCTTACAGCCATAAACTACTGTTTTCTTTGGAAGACTAAGGCTTGTCTTCAAACTAAGCATGAACTGGAACTAGCAGACTTGAACTAGCCACGCTCAGGCAACTGTCCATGCTATAAAATACTCCAGCAATGAGAGCAATTTCAACAGCAGCACAGGATAAGTGCATTAACAGTGTGACAGAATTACTTGATGCAGCTGTATCCTCACTGCACTTAATTCTGTAATCAGCAGCATACACACATCAGCCCATCTCTTCCCAAATCTCCTGTTTAAGCACCTTTAAAGCCTGAGCTAGACATTTGCATGCATAGAAAACATTTTGGCTGACGTGAGATATGAACCAATTTACCAAATGTAGCAACAAGCCCACACCAGTATCATGGTAATAAACACTAGTGGTCTTTAGACACTGTTGAAATTTATTGACTCCTGTTTCCACTGCAAGTAGGGAAACAAGAAATCACCTATGTGAAAATCTAAGTAGTTTCTCTCCGTCTCCAGACTTATCTGAAACAGTCTTGATAAATCTTAATATAATGTTGACTGCTACCGCCAGTATACTGAAACTGAATGATCTTGATTTCCACTTGAAGCTTTGTTTTGTTGTTGGTGTTTGCTTGGATTTTTTAAAAGAAGTCCCCTATACCTCCCAAATAGCTTAAGTACCTTGGTATTTCAGAAACCCTGCTATTTAGTAATATCTCTTTGCGATTTTAAAGCTTGCTGAAATTGAAAAACAAGATGCCATACTGTAGGAACCATACTAAAATTCCTGGAAAACGACACTGTGAAATATCAATGACGAACCATTTCACTGCTGAATCTGTCAGCGGTTGCTGGGCATTTGGGAGGCTGCTAACGTATCACAATTGCAGCAGCCAAGTTCAGTCTCAATTCCACTGACTTACAGGTTAAACAATACCAACCCTATGGGAGCACAATTCTCTTTCACTAAACCTTTCTACCTACTCCTAAATACACCTGCACTTTAAGGAAAGGGCATCACAAAGCAGAAGCTGATGATCAGACTAACACCAAAATCTCTTTTGGCTTGCTTGCCAACTTCGTCTCTCCATCCTCTGAAAAGGAGTGTCAAGACACTGCACACTGCATAGCTTGACTTCTTCCTAGCTCTCCCTGCTCTGTTTCCTGGGAATGCAGAATATATACAAAAGGTCTGTTTAGTTCAGAGAAGACTTTTAAGTCTTATTTTTTGCTATTCTGTTGATAGGAGAAGAGATCTCCACTGTAGATGCATTATGTTTCTTTTAACTAGATTTCTAAAAATCTTTTTAATGCAAATGAGCACAACGTATGTATTTCAATAAAGCAGTTAACAGAGGAAAAAAATTCCATGTGTTAGCAGCAACATAATGAAAAACCCTCAAAAACTATAGCATATCTGATGGAATCAAGTGAAAATGCCATTCTGAACCACTGCCACAGCTGTCTTCTTCCAGCTTACTCCCAAATCTTCACAAAACTGTTCGCAAAAGGTGACGGGTTGTTGTTCACCACCAACTTCAAGAAACCCTGTGGCTCTGCACTTTCTAATTTAAAGCTACTATAAAAAAAGACTGCATTCAAAGCCCCCAAAAGCCCATATAATTAGCTGCAAGACACTAATGTATCAGTTACAGAAGTTGGTACAATCCCCAGAATGGTTATCCTACACAGCACCGCAGAGGAATCTGTGACTTATTCCACAACACGTTTTCAATTCCAGTAATACAGGAATCAAAAACAGATGGAAAAGGACATCTGCAAACAGACAGTAATCAGGTAAATCAAATAAGGTAGAAATAGTCCAACAAATTTGGTTATTAAACATTTTTTTCATGCATACCCCATGTGACAACCAACAAAACTACTTAGCTATTCTTGTGAAAGGAGTATTACCAGTGAGAAGAATATCTGACCACTAGTACGAGAAAAATGTATTACAGTAAAGAGGCTCATCTGAGGAAAAACAGTTTCAGCTGAAGTACATTTTGTCAGATTTAGTATCAATTAATGAGTCTTCAGCTTTTATAATGTGTCCTTTATGCAGTTCTAAAACAATTTTCTAGCTAAACAAATCCCTAAGTGTTGTATAGCAGTAGCAGAGGCACCCATACATTTAACTCTGCCCACTCCATAAAGTAATCACCTGTCTGTGATCTACAAAATTCCTTAGGACAGGAAATAAAACCCGTTTGGGAAAGGCAGATAGGCAGCAGTCAATCACACGCATCAAATGGAATTTGGCAGGGAGAACAGGACCAGTGCTCATTTGGGTGATCTATGTTACACAAGTTCAGTGACAAAGGTGGTCAGGAGCTCTGTTTTTTCCATGCTGACACCTACCAACATGATCAACCTAGAGAAAGGCTGTCCCCTACAGCATCCTGACTGCATTTGGATCTACAGACCAAGATGTGATCAGTCTTGGTACAAAAGTCAGGTAAGGTCACAAGCTTCTGATTGTATGTCTGCAAATAAACTATTAGAAGATGGAAGCCAGTATTTTCCACCGGAACACAAGATTTTATGAGTGCTGCCTGAGTTATAAGGGTATAAACACACAGAGCGCTACCGGAGGCTTTCATTCTTTTGGCAAGAAGCAGGAGAGTTGGCAGCTTATAAAGAAATGAAGAGGGACATTTGTTTGACGGTTTTAAAGTTCCTGTTCTTTCATGCAAAAACTAAAGTTACTTGTATATTATCTAAAAAAATTATATATATAGCTCACCTTCTTTAATCTGAATGTTGCCTGTTTGCTGCCTACTGTGGTATCAGACACATTGAGCGTGCCAAGCTTTTCTTCAAGCTTTAAACGATCTCCAAGAGTTTTCCTGCAGAGAATAATTAACATTAGTCCTTATTCTTGCCATCTTTTTACTATAATAAAGGCTGATAATGCAGTCAAAACTAATCTCAGTTTCTCTGAAATTCCATAACTCTGGAAAATAAACATTCAGTAAACAGAAAAGAAACAAGTTCAAAACATTCCCTCCAGATAATTACTTTTGGTAGAAACATTTTAAAATTATGTAAAGTTCATTGTTTTCTCTGCTAAAAAAGCAACAAAGCTGTAGTTGAGAAAGAAACCACATCCTTCTATTGCTACAGTTTTCTATGAAATATTAGAAAAAGTCAGGAATATTCAGCTACAGTAATAGATATATATACAAATAATAAATAATAAGGTTAGATATGTACAGTTTTCTTGAAATCTTATCATTTCTGAATTGGAAACACTTTTGATGGAAGGAAATAATCTTGACTATACATCAGAATGAATGAATCACCGACTGAATCACTCCACTGCTAGAGACAAACAACCTAGTCCAAGTACAATTGACTGTTCGGACACGGCGCCCACAACAGCCTAAGGCAAAGGGTTTTCTAAATAAAAGAACAACGCAAACAAGTGAATGCGATAAATAAGACCGACCCTGAACCCAGAGAAGAGCTCCACATGAGCCTATGCCTTCAAGCACACTGTGCTCATCAGTTAGTTTCCGTAAGCAGGCTGGTGTAGATAGTGCCTCTCACTCGGGCAAAAAGCTCTACGGAGCAGGAGGTAGCTGTTGTGGCCAAAACTGACCCTGCCTTCAGCTCTGCCCCACTGGACACTAATACCCCATCAAAATCAAGAGATATGGATGTGTCCCAGCTGCTCCAGGTTGTGAGCAGATATTTAATATCACCCTTGCTGACTGCAGTACATTGGGTTGTAAACTGGAACAGCTGAGGAGTGGAGAGGCACCTTGTTCCTGCATAGCCCCCAGTGCAGAAGCGAGGCAGGCAGTGACGGTGCTGGCTTCAGCCAACTTCTCTCAAGGCACCTGTGGGTCCTAACACAACTCCTCCTTCTGTCATGTGGGCCCCTGGCAGTCCATGGCAGTGCCACCTGAGAATATGACATGGCTTGCATGATCAAACTCACTCTGATGCACTTAGAAAACATTCACCTAGCTGTAAGTGAGGTTAGTTTTTGCAATTGGACATGCTGCTATTAGTGCCTTATTAGATCTCTCTGAAGAGGGCTGAGAGACAATTTTTTTGTACAAGTTTTAAAGTGGGAAATAAGTCATCCTTAAAAATACAGATGATTAGCAGCCACCAAAGTCAATGGCATTTCTATGGATGAAGGGCTCATGGATGGTGGCCTATGCATGAAGACTCTGAAGTCCACTGAATTTTGCTTAATGAGCCATTTTATGCAACAAAAACTTTTCAGATGAACAATGAAAAATTACTGTCAAGAATTACTTTATTTCTCATGACTAGGTAATTTGATTGTATTTTTTTCCTGTAGTATCTTTTACACTGAGTACATGTAAAAACTTGTTCCATCTGTGCGCATCAGGAAGACAAGCTAAGCCTTAGAGCTAACTATGGCAGAAGATCAGTCACCGACATTGCAGTGGGATTTCTGCATTCAAGTGAAGTCCCATTTCCCTCCCCTTTGAAAGCGAACTGGAGAAATATGGCTACTACCCAGCAATTATTTAGCATGACTGCCTAGATAATGCTTCAGTCGGGAGAAAAATTAAAATGAGGAGGTATGAGCAAAACGCTGTGGGGTTGCCATCCTACTGAGTAATTGCAGGTATGGCTCTGTTTGTCTGAATATGTGCAGACCTCAAATGACAGCGGATTCCACACATTGGTACACAAACACAACAGCTGGCTTGGTTTTTTTAAAATCATCCTCAACAAATTGATTGAAGGGATACATTAACAGTGTTATTAAAAGCAACTTTCCCTGCCCTACAGTAAAAAAAAAAATAAAATAAATTGCCCAAGCACTTGCTTTTCCTTTGTTATAAAGAGAACAGGTTTTCAGGACTTTTCCTGCTGTTTTACAGTAATACCTAGGAATGTCAACTATGCCTTTGTTGGCTTTTGTTTACTTTCTTGGCCACCTCTGAAGAGACATACATTGACTGTCAAACTTCCTGAAGTATGACTACTGTGGTTTTTAATTTTGACATGCTCTACCTTCAATAACAAACATTTTAAAGGGACATCAAGAAAATCAAGAGAGCTCTTAGTGCACTGATAAAAATAATTTCCTTCTATGGATTCCTTTTAAGTTACCCCTCCTGTGTAAGGAACTTATGCAGCAAGTAAACAAAGTTTTGCATCTTTGCTAATACACATGAAAACATGTTGAATGTAAGTGCAAAAGAGTGCAAAAGGGGAAAATTAAACAGACTGATGTGAGACAAGGCGCTTTTTACAACCACGAGTAAATTTTGCAGTTTCCTGCACAAAGACATGCGTAGACTGTTGGTCTATAAAGACATTTTTAGTATGCACCACTGCTTTAGAAGTTGGGCTTAGAGCCGTGCTGAGTCAGGAACATGTCAAAAGAAACACCCAGTTTTATATAAGTCATAAACTGTTTCCTCAGGTAGAATATTATACGATTAGAGAAAAAAAGAACACCTAACCATTAAATGCATAGTGAAGGTATTAAGGTACTTAATTATATTGGTCACAGACCATCATTCCATAACTTGGATAAATCAAATCAAAAACAAACATGCCAGCCTCACCAGATTGTACATGCCACTACAGTCTTTCCAATTTTCAGTACATTACCTGAATTAATTATTTTTATGCTGACTGCTTATCAGGGCAGCGGAAAACATATTTAGGTATCTTCATAAAATTCTAGTATGTAAAAATGTTAATTAACCAAACAACGTAGCTCACAACACAGACTATGTTAAGATGATTACCGAATCCTATCAGCTATACATAATAAGAAATAGGTATCAGCCTTTATTTTTTAAATTTCCTTTAAGAATTTACAGAGGGTATCTAACCTAAGCAATCCTAATTAGGCACCACACCTGTAAAATACTCTGCAGAGAATTAGCAGCGAATCTTAAAACAGATTCTCTCTTTCATAAAAGCAGCCTCTGAAAAGTCTTTCCATGGTTTATGTAATCACTGATATTCCTCCATCCACTGGACATATTTGTGGTATTTGCTTATTTCCTGAGCTCAAGCAATGATTTTTCTCCCTCTGTACACTGGATGAAAGAATTTATTTTGTCCTGCGTCACACAGCATTGTTTTTTTCTCTCTGTTGCTCTTCCTTACGCCTGTCCTGGCTTACTTACTTAACTTTCAGTATCCCTGTTCCCATTTAAGCCTTCCATGTTTTGAGTGAAATGAAACCTTAACACTTCCAACTGATTGTCCTTGAGAATCTCTTTTAGAGGTCAGCAGCTGAGCGTGAGTAAAAGAGCACCTTTCAACTCAATTGCTAACACGACTATAAGCCCAAGTATAGTGTAAAAAATATCCTTAACGTACAATACTCTGTCAGAGTGTCCAGAGTGGATTTTCTTCTGACAAAGAAGAAAAACTGACAGAAGTACAAAGTTACTTTATCTTCTGGAAGAAAGAAAGAAAAATAATCTGAAGCAAGTTGATGGAGAAATCTCAGAATGTTGGAGTCCAGAATGAGTGGGTATATTAAATATAAAGAACAAATAAAAATCCCAGTGTGAAAACACTTGCTGATGAGAAACAGCTAAGGAAAACATGGGAATCAGTTCTGCAGAGCTGCTATAAATCCCAATTTATAAAAACCACTACTTCTATTTAAAGGGTTCTTACAGGTACAGCATGGAAATGGTAGACTACTGTAGAAACACTGGACCAGTAATAATTAAAGACCATTTTACGTAATAATTCCAGTTAAAAACTTGAACATTTAAGGGACAGGCTGAATTTTTATCTAACGTTTTTTCATATATCTTCAGAAAATTCCCATCATGGAACAACTAGGTTGTAGAGTCAGTCATTAGTGACACAAAGAAACAGTCCCATTAAGTATATTATTCACTTCCTTTTCTTTGACTGTATCATTTTAAATAAAAACATAATGGCTCTTACGAGATCCATCTAGCCCAGCAACTTGTTTTCAACATTAGTCAAAGTTCTGCTCTGCATCCAGTGTGCTGCAAGAACTCTGAAGCTATTGTCTTTCAGAAAGGGTTTTAATATTAATATCTGCCCTCCAAATAATAAAAGGCTATTAAATCTCATCTTCTGAAGGGCTCAACTCACCTCTGAAAAAAAAAAAATACCAATGAGATTTGCAGGCATTAAGCATTTCAAAGCCAAGTCCTTTAGTATGATGTGCACTTTATACAGCACACAATTACTTCAGTTGTTCATCAATTTTTTAAGTCTGATTTTTCACATTGTAAACAGAAAACCAGAAATAGTAAGACCTGACAATATAAGGACCGTGTAGTTTTTTTAAAGTTCCTGGATGCTATAAAAATATCCAGACAGAACAATTTTTGTTTTACCACCTTGATCCTACCCCCAAAATAGTGACCAGTCATGCAGCATTCTGCATCCTTTTAAAGGGGCAAATGAAAAACACGCTCACACTGGTGGAGAAATACAACCGGTCTCACAGACATCAGCGTTGCTATTTGTGAGAGCAGCAGTTCACCAACACCTCATAAAGGACCCCCAAATCTGGCCCAGAATATTAATCTTTTATCTCATGTGTGCTGCGTCTCTGCCATACTTTAAACATTGTATTTTTCTAACTACAAAACAAAGCTTTCAAACAACTATGTTGCTTAAAGTTACATCCCTGATTCACCAGATGTGGCTTTACTAGTAAAGTGCTTCCAAGCCAAAATGCCACTGGCCTGCATTGTAGAGAAATACTTGAGAATCGTCCACCCCCAGCTATTAAAACAGGAACATAAGTCTTACTTCATTAATTTTTGTTTTTTGGCAGAGTCTTTGAAGCTTCTGAACTCCTCTCCTTCTTTAATCTCAAAAAACTGAGGTTTCAGTAATGTTTGCTGATCCTCCTTGAACCTTTCCTGCCGCTTTACTTTTTCCTCTTGGCGCAGGAGCTTGCGCTGTTTCCTGACCTCTTCAACCCAGCCTTTTTCATCATCTGAACTCTCAGAACTTTCTGCATCACTTGCTTTTCCTTCTGGTTCTTCCTCCCCTTCCTGCAGACAAAAATAGTACTAAATAAAATATCATCAAATAATTTTCTTTTCAGACAACTCCAGCAGTTAGAGTATGCGACAGCTTTTTACACAGAGTTAAAGAGAACTAAAATTTGAACAAAAGCAGTAACAGCAAATAAAGAAGATATATTATAAAATTGTTTCCACCTACATATCTTACGTTTTTCAAATCTATATTTATGTAGACATGATACTGTTCACATCTAAACTCAGAAAACATTATAAATGACACCTAATTACTGTAGCTGTAGAGACATTCTTGCATTGCCTCCATTCTTCCTTCTTTCTAAGATGAAAAATCTGAATGACTGAAACACACCAAAAAATCCCCCAAACGATGCATTTTTCTTAATCCAAATGGAAAATATTTTACCTGTTCTTGTGCTTCCAGCTCCTCCAAGACCTTTAGTTTCCTCTTTCTTTTCTCACTTATTTTAGAAACAAGTGGATTAAGTAGCCTGAATTCTTCACTCTGCTCATCCACCTGGAAATCTGGATTCTCAAACATGACCTTAAACCGATCATCTTTGAGAAGGCTAGGCAGATTCTGGAAAAGAAGCAAAGCATGAGTGAGTTATAAAATTCTGAAACAGGCACTGGTAAAGTAAATAACACTTCTTATTTAAACAAAACTCAAAACTACCATATAAGATGTCAGTTGCTTTATCCTTCCAGGTCATATAAAAATCAAGATTTATGCTTATTATATTTTATATTATCATTCTAAGCTACCTGTAAACAAGACAGTTTGGGGTTTTTGTGCACACTATAGACACATTAAATACACAATTATTAATATTTTTTATTTAGTGTTTCTCAAACATTCAGCCAGCTGCTCTGGAGACATGTTGATATCTATCAACTAATCAGCAGTACCTCCAAGGCAAATATCCTGCCTGACAGGGATGATTCTACAAGAAATTATCAGGGTAAACATGTCTTTATGCAATGCTAATACTGTTTTACTATAAACACATTAGAGTAAGTGTTTCTATAAATCTTACAACACTTTTCTTCACTGCCCTTGCATACAGAATGGAAAGGGCAGTTCCTTCACATCAAAGTTAAATGAAATCAGTGTAAATTATGCTACTGCTGAATTAGGAACAGTTCAAGCTCCAATTTTAGCTTATATGAATACCTGTTGTTGCAATGTTAAAGTTATTGCATACATAGCTTTTTAGTATAAAAAGCTGATCTTGCAACACCAAACTTATAAGAACACATTCACCCCCACCCTAGTATTAAGCTTTCATTGTTACCTAAGTAGTGTGTGTGTGTGAGGAAACAAACAACAAATACAGAAAACAAGAAGTGTCATTTTCAAACAGAGAAACCGTTACAAATGTGTGACTTGCAGTAAACACAGCGAAAAATCAAATTCTAAAGCCTAAAATACATTGCTCTTTGTAAGACTCTCATTCCACTTCAGAAAAATAACCAGAACGTGCATTTTTATGCTACTCTTCTTAGTCCACTTTCCTGGTTTATTGGGATAGAATCTTAAAATCAGTTTTCTAGTCAGGAAAAAAGCATTTTTAAAGACTTTAGTACTCATTTTCAATGAGAACAAGCTGATAAGACACTTTGTTATAGTTTTCAGCCAGCACTGGAATGCAGGTTGTCATAGTGCTCAAGGACTGTTTCCAGTTTCCGTGTTGCACCTGTCCTGCCAACCTTTACTATACAAGAAGCTGAACAGAGTGAAATCCATGGCACATGACCAAGTTGACCAACAGAAAGTCATTTATACCACAAACATTGCACTCACTATAAACACGTTCTGGGGACAGCTCTCCATCTTCAATGGCTGCCATCCCAAGAGGGCCTCACCCACCGTTCTGTTCCCAAAGCCTACTCCGCCACTGTATCAGTCGAGTATAAAATTATGCGTACTTTATATTGATACTGTTATTAATACTGGTTTTTTTTCTTACTATTATTTTATTAAATCTGTTTCTATTTCAACCCATGGGTAACCTTCCCTTTTCCCGATTTCCCTCCTCAGGTGGGGAGGAGTCATCAGGTGATATAACAACTGTCTAAATGACAAAACACACTTGACACAATCTATATGTACTCTAGACTAATCAGCAAACCAGTCTGGCTACTTCATAAAATGCAGATAAATGTGTACACAAAGAAAGGCAATTGTACCTTCAGTTTTACAGGTAACATCTATCTTGTCATAGTCACCACCAAAATACCAACAAATGCAAACAACAGGTACTTTTCTAACAAGTTTGGTATTGACGCTGCATTTAGCTACCTCCTGGAATCCTGTCAAGCCCACATCATCTTCACAGTGAGCATTTAATTATTTTAAGCTTTGTTACTACAGGGTCTTTGTGGTGCTGCAGCTACAGTGAAATCCACTTTAAAGCCACCTGTAGAATTTTTATGAGAAACAGAAACAAGGGAATTTTGAATCCGTTTGGCCAGATAACAAAAAAACCAAACCAAAACCCCAACAACAAAAATTCAGTACTGTAAGCATTATTATGTAAAAGAATTCTCCAGAACAAAAGTTCACCTTCTGTTTCCTTTTTCTGGCAACCTGTTGCTCTTCTCCTTCTTCTTCAATCAGTTTGAGAGCAAGCTCTTTATTGACTTTCGGAAGTTTCTAAAGAGAGAAAAGCAATTAATTGGTCAATTACTCTTTTACACATGCAAAAATCTACACGATTTACATTCATAAGTGTGGTGAAGAGAGAATTCTTATTCATTCTTATAACTCTTGCTGAAAAGCTCCTTGATTGGTTCCAAATATTTTTAGGTACTATTAAAGTAAGAGTTTGGAGAAAATTTAAGCAGAATGCCTGTGACATTTTTACCTTGTAATGCATGAGCTTCAGTACTTTAAAAGCATTATTTCTCCTTGTATGTTGAGCAAATTCAATCTAGAAAGTTATAAGCTAGTTATAAACACACTATCTTTATAAATCTCTTTCCAGAGTACTATGTCTTAATGGCTTAAGTTGTTTATTTTAATGACAGAAATAGACACTGCAAGTTTCACCAGTGGGTTATACACTTAAGTGGCAAACGTGATGAGAGCTGCTCTTTTCCAGTTCCGTATCAGCCTCTCTCTCTCTCTCTCTCTCTCTCATCTGTGGGAATCACACACAGGAATTCTATGCTTCCATTCAAAAGTTCTATAAATTACTTTGTGTCTCTGATGATAAACAAATCCTAAGTCACTACATCTGAGATATACTTAAGAATATATTACTCTTTATGAATAGTTTTTCCAGAAGTGTACTCATTGTTTACAGGATTTACCTTTAGTTGAACTCTCTGTGCACGAGTTTCTTCTATCTTCTGCCGTATTTTCTCTCTTCTGTATTCCTCATAGGCAAAGGGGTTGGCCATCATTTTTGCCTTCGAACAAGCACAAGGAAGTAAAAAGAAAATACCACTAATAGAGGACACAGTCCATTATTTGGAGAAAAACACCACAAAAAAAAACCCCAAACCAACAAAAACCCAAAATGCATATTTTATTGTTAAGCGTAAAAACTAACAAGGATCAGCCTTATTTACCTTATGATAAAGTCTTATGTCCATGAAAAAGCCATGCATGTATGCTCTGAGCAATGATGATCCAATGAGATGAGCAAGGCCTGGGAAAAAAGTTAGAAAGTATTTCAAAGAGCTTTCATATATGAAGAAGCAATATTCCAAGCTAGCCACTTCACTCACCCGATTCAAGACAAACAAGCACTGCCAACTCAACACATCACTCTAACAGTCACATCCATTACATAAAGACTAAGTAAAACCGCAAAAAAAATCAGTTTGGCCAGCAAGAAATTTGACCTTCTTCAGAGCAACAAAATCCAGTTTTCTCATCATAATGCATGTTACTGTGCACTTTAGAAGAATGCCCACATGTACTACGCTCTATAAAAGTTTACAAAGAAAAATTTGAGAGGATTTTTTCTGAAAGTCCATAGAAGTTTGACAATCACTTTTTTTAGTGTGGCACAATTATGTTTTTAATTAAAAAGAGTTTCGCCTTAGGTCACTATCTTTGAAGAATTAGCATACTGAAAAAAATACAGTACCACATCAGGCATAGAACTGTCACCCTAGGCCCTAACCTAAGTAAGAATGAAAATATTTAAGAGTTCTCTAACTTTTCCATGTATTTCTACAAAATTCCAAGACTGAAAAAAAGAAAAGCTTTCTATAGCAAAATATCCTCTACAGACCCCAATCTTTAGGAATTAAGAACTAACAAACAACTTCTAGAACTAAATGGCAAAAAAAAAGTGAAAAACCACTGTGTACTTCAGAAAGTAAAATTGTCTCTAAAAATTTTTTCAACTGTTCCCAGGAAACAACTTCTTGCATATGCCAAAATGAGAGTACTCAAGCCATTGCTATTAACACACAGAAATGCTGACAAATGAAATGTGAAATATCCCTTAAGATGGTTCTTGATTTGAAAGCTTGCATTTAAGGGGAAATGAATTTGACTAAATTCATTTGACTAAGTTCTAGTGAACTGAAAGCAGAATAACTGCTCTCAGTGAAGTCTCTAGGTAGGTAATACTACATTGCCTTATTCCCTTACAATTGAGATAGGGGTCTGAGGGCTACATTCAGCCCATCTGCACTAGAACCCTAATGCTAAAGATGCGGGTACTTTGATGACCTCCTCCTTATGCCGCCTCCTGCCAGGCCAATCCCAGCTCCCATATTCAGAGGTAAATTAACTAAACTTGAGCAAAAACATTGCAATCAAAACACGTAATGAACAGAAAAAGGACTAACTACCTTAGGAGAAGTATGCTCACATTCTCTGCTATATAACTTTCAGTATTGCAATTCCTTGAAACATATTAGTCCTAGAATTATGTGCATTTTCTGGAAGTTACTACATTCAAATAGGGAAGCCTTTGGCAGATTATGCTGCGAGTTTCAACATAGTATTTCAGCCCCTCAAAAATATCTTGAAAACTAAACCAACTTAACTTTCTATGCCTTCCACTTAATGTCTGAAAGCCCACACAACAGATTATTAGACCTATTAAATCAGAAAATATAATCTTGGCTTAAAAATCTGAGAAATACAAGTATCTAGTGTTGCACTGGTTGGGAACCAAAGAGCATGAAGCCATCAGGCTGGAATATTAATAACCAAGAAGGCTGGAGGAAACTACTGCCAGGGGATTTCTAACAGTCCTCATACGTCACATCAGAATTACAAAACTTACATGTGTAAATGGTCAAAAACTGAACCAAGAAGTCAGCTAAAGAGGATATTCAAGTGTTTTACCTAAATTTTCAAGGTCTTTTCTGGTAACAAATTTGTAATCATCATAAACTGTGCTCTCCGGATTCTCTTCCAATTCTTCAGTCAAGTTGTCCAAGAAGGAACACCATTTTGGGGCAGGTCCTAAAACCTGTGGATATTACAGAAAGTTGTAACATTGTATATGCTCACAGAAAAATCCTACAGTTAGGCTCTCAGCTACTGTGCTGTAACAGAAAAACAAATGAATCCCCCTAAAATCAAACAGACCTTACAAGCAACAGCAGTTAGAGAACACAATTAAACCTACTGCTTGCATTACCAATAATGAGTAGTATAGATTATGTAAACATTATTTTAATTTAGGTCATTTATTTGAGACCAACAACCTAGAGGTTTCAGGTTTAACTGTTTCAAGTGCTCCCAGTCTGATTAATTTATTAAAAGGTCAGAGACAAACATTATAGATAAAATTATGAACTAATGGCACTAGATGGCAACTAATCCGTAAAGCACTGTTGGATCATCAGGTTCACTATGCAATCATGTTAATTCCTATTCTGTCCTACTTATTTTAATTAAAACACCACAAGTATACTTAATATATTTTTACTCAGGGACAGAGCTAGATTGTATGAACAGATAAGGGGAAATATTAGAAAACTTGCATATTTCTATCACGAGACAAAGGATTTATTTGAACAATATTATGTTGTGCTATCAATGTACTTTTCCATATAAGCTTCCTCCAATTTCCCAAGTCAACAATTAGCTCCCTTCACTTTTCCCTCCTGCTGTTCTGATAGAAATTCCTCTCTATCCTGATGCACGCAGCCATGCTCAACTGTTCCAGTGCTGCTATTTTAGTAGCTGAGTTAGCCAAATGGAAAAATCTAACATTACATCTTTCCCTCTAGAGCAAATCAGCTGACATTTTGGAACGTAAAGGGGCCTGTTCACTCCTAGAGTGGGACTTTTGGTGAGGCTTCTGGTTTGTTTGCTAAAAAATTACATTAAAAACTCTGCAGTCAACATAACCACAGGAATGGTTGTGATTCAACAACATTTTAAGGTCTTATTTGTTAATGGAAACAAGTAGAATTGATGCTATAGATATAAAATACATATAAGTTTGTTTTAACATGATATTCTGGTAACAGTATGAGACAATGCTGTCATTTTAACAGTGTGTTACTACTTGCTCAAAAGCCTTCTTTTGGAAACAGCTATACACAAAAAATAGTAACATTTTATTCTAGATTATAATATTCTACTAATATTTCAGACTGCAACACTCCAGACAATAACACTGTATTCTAGACCACTACTGTCTCTGTATGAAGTGTGATTTATATTTGTAAGGTTTCAGGCATAGCTGAAAACCATAACACGGCAAATGAAAAATTACACTTTTTTTTTTACAGTAATGCAAATTTTATACCAATTAGTAAGAGCTTCCAATGAAAGACCTAAGGTGTCACTAACAGGAAAGACTTCACCTACTTAATGAATTAACCAAATCCCCGTGTCTGTTCCAGCATTACTCAGCTTAAACACTGAGAAATCTCAGTGAATACTCAGCTTTAACAACTGAGGAATCAGTTTGATTTCTTGCCCACATCACAGAAGCTTTTGCCTCCATCCAGATCTAAATTTTTTCAGTTATTTCCCCTAAACCAAATTCTTCAATTCTAAACATCAAACTTTCACATTATTAAGAAAGCAGTCCAGATACATTAAATGTACCACTGGTTTTCATGCCATTCAAGAAATCAGTTATCCATGCTTTATTACAGACCATCAAAGCCTGATTGGGGTGGAAGAATCTTCTCTAAAGTTTACCCATAATTTTGTTTTGGATGAAATTTTGTCTTTTTATAAAAATCAAGTTGCTTATTAACTAAACAAAACTTTTTGTGTAATAAAATTTAAGTACAAGTTTCTCTGCTGAAGATTATTAGAAATGAGATTAGATAATCCTTGACTCACGTTCATTCCCATTAAATAAAAAGTTTCCCTTCATTCCATCTGACTCATCATGTAAAGATCTCTATCACTTCAATAAACCTTTTTCAGCACTTCCACTTCTACAACACTATCGGCACAAGCCTTACAAAACGCACATTACTCATAAGAGCTCAGGCCACTCCAAGCAGTTCGGGTAATCCCCCAGTGGGATCTTGGTGGTGTAATTCTCTGAATGAATAACTAAAGCAGAGGTCTCACAAAAAAGGGAACACAGTTTATCTGCTCTGCAGCTGTAGCTCCACTCACTGTTCCAAGTATCCCTGTACTCAAAACCTGATACTGAGAGTAAAACCTTTCATGGCAAGTTAATTTGTGCCATGAAACGCATAAAGCCAGAAGATCTGATTATTCATTATAATCCGTGGAGCAAGTTGGATGATCAGATCATAGAAAACAAGGCGAGCAGGGGGAAATGAGATAATTAATGGAAAAAAGCAGAGGCAGAATACCAGGAAAAAACACCAAGTCCAACCATTATTCAAATTTAACATGTAAACTGACAAAAAGGAAAACCCTACAGATATGTCTATGCATGTTTTATTGCCTTATTTCCCTCTCTTCCAACCTACTGAAACCACTTGCCTACCTATTGTAGGACACCTTAGGAGCTTTGCTTTGTAAATTAAAATGGAACATTTCTTAAAGCTTAGGAGGAAATTTAAAACATAGAAAAGGCAACCACCACCAGCCACACTGACAAAAACATAAACAAGACATGTCCTTTTCTTGCAATAGTAATTCTTCAGAATTTAATTCTAACAGAATTTAATTGCCACTGCATTTTAACTGCAGAGTTTAATGCTCCTCTGCCATCCAACAGACATCCCAGGATGGTGCTGAGCGCTCTGAAATGGCAGACCCCAGTGCTCCTGTGCCAGGGTACAAATGCAGCAGTTCAGAGGGGTGGTCTGCACTGGGCCACCAAGGATGAGGCAGCCAGGTGACACCTCACGGGTGCACAGCAGCACAGGAGGGACCCCTCAGAGCTCCTGCCACTCAACACTGGCACCACCTCGGCCTGGTGCGCAGTTCCCACCCAAACCAGCAAACAGGCGTGAAGCTGTGGAGGGTGGGTAGGATAATTAATAGACTTGTCAGTTTAGACTGGAACATACAACTCTACCATATCTGTGGGAGAAAAATGCACTGGAATTCACAGCAAAAATGAGAAAGTGTTACAGAGGTAGGTAATCACATGCAACTAAACTGACAGACCTCATTTTTACAATATTTATGATATACCAATAAGTTTCTCTGCAAATTTTAGAAAAGTTGCACACAGTTAATGGGAAAATAATTATTAAATTAGTGCACATCTACACTAGGCTTTTATTCAAATATTTCTTAGGATAGGAAAACCAGAAATCATCACCAACAGTGATTGAACCAATACTTTTGCTATTTTTCACTATTTTTCCATTTTCAGTAGGGTAGTCACTTCTTGAGACTATTTCTGCCAATTGCTAGTGAAAGCCAAGAAGACTGGCTTTGAAAATATTTTTGGTTTTGAAAATATTCTAAAATAATTTTGCCTATCAACAGAAGAGCCTTGCCTTGGGCAGGGTCCTGCTGGCAGCAAGCTGGGTGGGCTGCTCCCTGCTCTCCTCCCCTCCCAGTGCTCTCCTCCTTAATAGCACCCACAAGGCGACCAAGAAGCAGTTATCCCACATGGTGTCCCACCACCGCACTGCAAGAGAGTGGTAGCTGGGTCACACGAGACAGGGGACATGGAGCAGCCAGGGAGCATGGCCCTCTCCTCCCCGGAGTGAGCCATGGGGCCAGACCTACCACAGGGGCTTCCCACTGCGATACACGGGTAATACAGATGTCTCACCATTGCCTCTCATACCTGATACCAAGCCACAAGTAGTAAAGATGTGGACTTCATAATTACTGTGCTATCTAATGCCAAATTTGTTAGTACGCATTAGAATGTCTTTTTTTTTAATTTTAAACTTTAGATACAAAAGCATAAAATATGATGCGTAATCGAGCACACAAATGAAAGGAGACAAGTAGAAGGCCAAACTGTTCAAGAAGAGGAAAAAAGTTGACAGAAAAATAGATGTTTAACTTAATAGTCTCACAGCACTACAAATTTTACATGCCCTGTACTTCTGTCCATGCCTAATTCCTGAGCACTTCTGTAGGAAATATCATCCTGTCATCATCAGTTTGTAATTCCCCTGAAATTAATGAAGTCTAGGACAGCATAGGTACTATTCCCAACCCACAACAGATGTTTCTTATCTTTGATCTGGAACACCAGACAGCACTTGTACACTTTTAAATGCCACTCAACAATCTGACAGCCAGCTTCGCATAGCCCTCAGAGCCACATAAAAACCAGGTCTAATCCTAACTATTAAACATGCTCAACAACTCAAAAGCAGCCCAGGATGTGTAGCAGCTCCCAGAGTCAGATGTCACAAGCTTTAAATTAAATGACTTGGAATGCACATACAGACGAGTACTGTTCAGTATCTGCCTGAAGATTTCAGGAACTAATTCGACACAAGTGGACTGAGCAGTTGCTCTTTTCTTCTCAGGGAGTCAAAAGAGGTTCCAAAAATCTGGTTTTCAGGTTGTTAAATAGCAAGTGCCTGGAAGATTTCATACAAAGCAGTGATAAACTCTTCAGCTGTAAATAAAATGTCAAAATATATTAAGACTTGAGTAGCAGAAACTCCTCCCAACCTTCATTGACTTATTTTCGCAATCAAAACATGCAAAAGGTTCACAGACAGCATAAATCAGATTTGAAAATAATTAACTAGAATTTGCAAAGTTTACACTGCCTGAATTCCCTCTAGAAGATTAACTTCATGTATGTGGACAATTAACACAACTAAGTATGAAAACACATCATGTCACTGCTCTTTCACAACACATTTTAGAAGTAAAGCCTTCTTTCAAAAATCTTTGTTAGGGTACCTTCAATGGATTTTAAGTTAGACTGCAAGCCCTTTACCAATTAGCAAAAAATTTATTAGTTAAATCATTCACTGCCATCCTATTTGAATAATGTCAATTACAATATTAGCACATTTTTAAGGCCTTCAACAGAACTCTGGGTACAGCGCAATGCGTAAAATTACTAAGATAAGAATTTTAATAACTGTA